CAAGTCTGAATCTACATATAGGTTAATATGAGTGGTTATGAGTGCAAGTCTGAATCTACATATAGGCAGCAGAGCCTAGTCCTGTCTCGTGCCATGTTTTCATCTTAGTAATATATCCCAGCGTTTTCTCCTTTGAAAGATGTATGGAACTCCTGGCCCAATAGAAAACTAAGGGAAAATCAAGCAGAGGGAGACGATACTCCTGCCTGTGGTAGACCGCTGTGCACAGTGTTTTGATTTTCTGGATTAGCTGGAAAAAAATTAGCTACTACCACCACAAGGAAAAACAAGAGGAAGAAGGGTCCTGAAAATGGTGTCTTAGCAATGAAAGACAGTGAATATTTTAAAGATCACTGAATTTAATTTATTCAACCTAAATGCATAAAAGTACAGGTGGGGACATTATTTATGCAGGTATATGCAAATCGCTTTATAAAATAGGCAAAGCCCTTCTGCTTTTTATAAGTTGCCAAGGTGGTTCCTGATATTTTAAAAGCTATGCACCTTTACTCTAATTTCCTAAGAGCTGGAATCCCTTGTAGGAATCACAGTCACTGTCAAAGAAGTTTATTTTTTCCCTCTCCTCCAGGACATTTACGAGGCTCTCATAACCGTCACAGAAAGAGTGGTTTCCACAGAGATGTGACTGGAAAAATCCCCTGGAAATTGTTGAGGAGTAAGTCATAGTGTTCAAAGCAGAGAACACAGGCTTTGAAAACATGAACCCATCTGACCTCCTGAATTTAGTACAGTGAATTCCTGAGCTCTGAAACATGGGGCCCGGCTGTGCATGCCATATTGGTGCTATAAGAGTGGCAGTAGGTTGGCTGTGGCATGGTCTATTTCAAACTCTTTCACAGTGCCCAGTGTTGCATGTTCCCAGATGACATTTGGTTGGCAGAAGCTAGGCCTCCAAAGCTGGCAGCCTGGAATGCAGCCCACTGTGTTTTGACAAACACATAATTGACCATCTGATCACCAGCCTATGTTCCGCACGCAGGTCACTGGGGGACCTGGGCTTTCAGTAGGTCCCTACTCCTCGTCTTGTTCATCTTCTCAAACCTTTTTGTAGGAAGCAATATAGAGAAGACTTAAACACACCCACGCAGATCCTTCCGTTTGTCTCACGAACACGGTACGTGAAACATAAGCTGTTGAACGTTTCCTTTAAACTGTCCTGGCAGCCCAAAGTGAACAAGAGAAAAGCACACTTATGGTGAAGTCTCATTGAGAGAGAAGGGAGGAATATACTTTACTGTTTCAACACCCGGCTGTGCGTAAGTTGCAGTTCAGTTCAAGGGTTTGAAAATTCTGCTTGGAAAAAGCAGCAATGGGAAAACAATAGGAAATTGGGGCATTAACTGACTTTAAGGAGACATTATTAAGAAATGGTTTCATTCTCAGATGAAAGAAAAGCAAGAAACTAGCAGTATTTCCTTCCTATGTGCTCCCTTTTTTCTTGCTCCATGCTTACTGCGGGCAGGACACCCATAACCCCAGAGACCAGCAGGCAGAAGCCCCGAGTGAGGTCAGATTCCCCTGTGAAGCTCTCTTAAGGACGTATTCCGGTCTGAAATTTGGCCTCATACAACACACCAACATTTCTACTAGAAGACAAGGTTTATGCAATGGGCCAGGGTATGCTGGAGTTCTGCAAGGGTGAACGCCTACGTCAACACTCTCGCATGGCCTCTCTTCTTCACTACAGCCCTGCTGAGCAGTTGGGGCCTTGGTATTCACCTTTGCCTTAGTTTCTCCATTCTCAGTCAGCCATCGTGCTACCACCGCAGTGCTTTTTCCAAAATGTTAATTTGCTTTAAAGTCTTTAAAATCTCTGAGCCTGCAGAAGCAAGTCCAAACTCCTCTGCGGGGCACACAAGGCCGTCTGTGATCTGCCTCCCGCCTGCTTTCCCAGCTCCATCTCTCACGCTCCTCTTTCAAGCACCTTACTGTGCTCCAGTGACACCAAACCATTCAGCCCTAGGGGCCTGGCTGGAACCTGATGCCTTTGGACTTTAGAAATGTTCTCCCTTTTTTGTGATTTTGAGTTCTCTTTCTTTTACCTCTCTTCTACCCAGCTGGTACACTGCTATTCACTGTTCTGACTGTAAGAATCATCCCGGGCACCTACCCACACGCAGGTGGGAACTCCTTTGTAATTCTTCTCATGCCTCTTGTTCATACCTACATCCCTGTGCCTATCATATAAGCGAGTCTTTATTCACTTATTTATCTCCCCTGGTATACTGTGACATTCCTTAAAAAAGGGGTCACGTCTTATTTATTTTGGAGTTCCCAGAACCTAGCACGGTAACATTTTCTGTGAATGTTTGTTGACTGAAAACTGTACAAAGATCTATGCATGATAATGAATCAAAACTAAGCCAAACAGTAGTATTGGCTTTTATAAGCATGGTAGGAGACCATTATCAATCTAATGAAGATGGAAGAGCTCAGCAGTAAGGCACTTTCTGATGGTTAACAAAGGGGCTGGTGATTGATTGGCTGGGGTGAGAGTAAGGTGGGGGGGACGGATGCTGTGATGGGGAGATGTCTTTTTCTTTTTTCAGAGAATATCACTAAGGCAGTAAATTATCTCTATTTAAAACATGGTTTTCAACATGGAAAGGTATTGTCTGAAGGGTGTGTCTCAGTCCGAAAGGCGGGGAGACCTAACTCTTAAGAGCTGAGTTTCCCAAATAGGATGACTCCATGCTACCTACTTCAAGATAGCACGGGAGGCTATGGTGGCCTCCTTTTGTTTGCTTCTGTTAAAGCCTAATCGGAAGCAAAACTCCTGGGAAAAATCCTGAAATGTGGGTCAAATCCACATTGGAACACTGGACTAAATGCAGTGCCTGGAAGAGGTCAGAAGAGCTCAGTTCTGCATCTGCCCAGAGAAGGCCATTGAGGAGGCAGTTGGAGCGAGAAGCACTGGGGAGATAATGTTCTGATCTCTTCACAAGCAGCTCTTCCTTTCTTTCCGATGGGTCTCTGAGGCACCAGTCCTGAAGCCATCAGCTGTCCACAGGGCACTTGGGGACAGCAGGACTGTCACCTTGCTGGCATGAAAACAACCTCAGAATTTGGAAGAATCCAAGCAACCATGAACTATGGCCCAGAGGTGGGACAAGATCATGAGTACATGAATGGATTATCAACTCACTACCGGTCTTTGCCCTCCTCTTACATCTGGTTAAAAAAATTCGATGTCTCTAGAAGCTGCCTGAGTGATGGTGGATGCAGCACGGAATCAATTTTACATTCTCCTGTGAGCCAGACACAGCCTTTCAATTATATCTTTTATCTCAAAGTTCTCCTCCTCGATTTTTAATAGGTGACACAGATCTCTTAGACTGCTTGTGTCTGAGGCTTGCCCTCAGCACTGACGTCATAATAGCGGAGCTGTGCAGGCAGGAGTGCATGGTGCTGACTCATTCTGGTGATGTGAGGATTAATGCCTTGTCTAACACAGAGCTATTATGTGAACTGTTTTTACACAAAAGAACTGTAACAAAAAATGATTTGCCAGTCAGAGGACTAGAAATATGCAGTGCTAGGTAACTGAGGAGAAAGATGTAAATAAATAAAGTGGTAACAATAAGCGTGCACACTGACATCTTCCAAAGCCTCAGCAGACTATCAACACCAAGAATAGGGAATAACAAGACATGTCAGGGGCAAGTAGGATCCGCCCCTGTTGTATGAATGCATTACACACAGCACCAGCTTTTGGAGAGTTTAATCAGTCTCCTTTCTCTGTCAAATAAAATGTCACATTAGACTTAGCCTTAGACTGCTTCGGAGGACTCAGATCCCCTAAATATATTTGCTATTAGCTCCTAGGAATGTTAGTGGAAGCCACACATAAGGAAAACAGCTATGCTAACCTCCTTTTTGTGTAGATGATTACAATACAAGGAATATCTCAGAGTAAAGGGTCAGTGAAATGAGATAATTTTTGAGACTAAGGGACAATATGCACCAAGAAGGTGGGATGCAGCCAGAAGGATGCTGATAATTATTTATCACATTAGGTGACTGTCACTCACTAGGGTTTCTTGGGCAGTGTCTCTTGTAGTGACTTTGATTTTTCAGTTTCAAGAGGCTCAAAGTAATATTTACTCAGACCCAAACTCTCACAGTTCAGCCTGGTTTGGTTCTATTAATAACAACAACAATAATAAATGTTTTCTTTCACTTGAAATCGTGTTTTTTAATGAATTCTCATATTTTTTTCTAAAATAAAAGGGTACCTTTTTTATGCCCACTGGCATGTATGAATCCTAGATTTCTTTTATTCCCCCCAATTTTAAAAATTTTGCACAAAAATTTAGCCTATTTAATTTGCAGTCCTATGCTCCTTAGTAAAAAAATTATGAATTTTGTCAACAAATGAAATCTGTGATCTAGAAGTTAAAATTAAAAATGGTTAGGCCTGCAGATAGGTGAGTAACTGAAGAATAAATAATTGTGCACTGACTGCAGCCCAATTCATGGCTGATATCTGATGGAAAAATATAAGCCACAGTTAGAAGAGTAGTGATTTTTGAAAATAACAGCTGTAGCCAAGTACAGGGCAGTCTGCGTAAGAACACAGCCGGAGCTGCGGGTTTGCTCAGCTCCCACTGGGATGGTAACATACCACTACCACCAACAGCCTCAATTCCAAACCCGAAAGAAGCTAATGCACACTAAACAAATGGTAAAGACCAACTCAACTAGAAAGTCAACCAGCAAAGATGCCAATAAAGATCAAAATTTCCTAAATCTGACACAATTTTTCAAAAGGTAAATAAACCACTTTTACTTACATAAAGAGAACGGGCGGCTGACAATCTGATGGTCAAGGAACTGAAAAACAAAGAAAAAAAACCCAAGGAATTAAACATACAATTAAAGATACAGTAGGGAAGAGAAAAGCAAGTATCAATGGGGCTGTTTTTTCTCAAAGGAGTCCTCTTGGTCACTTGTAGTTCAAAGTAAAAGAGATCCAGGCTTATGTAAAATTTCCAAAGCCGTGACCCCTGCTATGACAACCAAGATAGTACTTCCCAGCACAAAGAATGCCAAGGTCTTTCTTAGTCAATTTCATTCTAATCTGTGTCAGAAAGTATCTGTCTAGAACTATACTGTCATTTAATACAAGAGCCACTAGTCCATTGCTTTCTAAAATTTAAATTCTCTAGAATTTCATGGAAAAATCTAAACACTTAGTTAACTCAGTCACACTAACCACATTCCAAGTGCTCAGCGGCCACGTGTGGGCAGTGGTCGCCCTTACTGGACAGCAGAGAGACAGAACTTATCTGTTACTGCAAAAAGTTCTAATGGCAGCACTGACTAAGATCGGTAAAAGCTGTGCTACACAGGACTTCACTGACTTTAGCTAATTTTCACAAAGACAAGTTGAGTCCTGATAAAGTCTGGTTCTTTAATATAAATTTAGTAGAGTTACTTCCCCAAAAGTCCTCTACACAATTTTGTATGTCCATGGCTTGCTGATCTTCAGTAACACTGAGAACTAGGCCAACTGGGCCTCCGAGTCCTGGCTTCCCACTCTGATCCTGCCTCCTCCACCCAACTCACCAGACTAGTAAGAAGTCATGTGACAAAGTGATTTTAAACTGCAGCGTCTGTGCCTGCAAACACATCTCTAATGATAAAATTATAGGTGTTGGATGAGTTGGCCTTCACATTTTCCCAATCTATGTTAAAAATCTAAAAATTTTCCTTTAGAATCTTTAAAACGAATGCCAAATAATTTACCATACGACTGGTCTGCCCACCATTCTTTTGATAGATTCTTTTATAGAATGATACAAGTAGGGTAACCGGAAATCTATAAGAAATTAATAAAACAAGTAGATGTGCTGAGAAAAATGAAACAAACCATCCCAGTTGGGCCTCACTATAACCTATCAAGGACTGCACACATGCTGCTTGAATTCTTGTCTGTCTGATAGGGTGATTTTTAACAACCCATAGAAGGCCTCCAGAAATATGCAAAACAAACTTTCCAGTACAAAGACTTGATGACATAACTGTCCTGAAAAAGGCTGAAGCAAAAAACTAACAGTTATAGAGACTGACTTCACTTTCCATCAAGTTTTCCGGGTGAAGCCATCACCATAGAAATTTTGAAAGAAATGGCTCCCTCTGCATGGTCAAGGTGAAACCTGCCCATGTACATGCAGGGGTGACGGGTGGTGGTCCCCCACCGGGATGAGATGAGTTAAGAAAATCTTTAGCCTCGATCATAATATATGCTAATGCAAGAGAGGGTGAGGTGGGGGGTCTCCCATGCTTTCAAATTGTTTCACAAAATTGATGAGTTTAATGGAAAGTTCAAGCATGATAATTAGATTATGTATGATTTATTGAAATTTTGTTCAGAATTGAAATACAAAATAAAAACTAGTGTTCAAAGGTTTTTAAGGTTCAAGCTTTGCTATTTTCTTGTCTTTTCCACAAGACCAGATACTAGACTACTGAACGGGAGGTCTTTCTTTACTTTTTCCCTCTCTTCTTCTCTCTCTTTTTTCCTTCCTTTCTTTCTGCTCTCTAACCCCTCCCACCGCCCTTTTGAGGCTGCTCTCTTTCTCAGCCTTTGGGGAGAAGAAGGAAATATGGTTAGCAATTTTCTATGAAATATGTTATCACTTTTCTGTGGCATGTTATAAATGCAATAACTTTTAATAATATACTACGCTCTTTTAAAACTATAGTTAGTATTTATATTCATATGTCTATGTAACTTCCTTTTCTAAATTTCAGTGAGCACTTTATTCATGAAATTAGTCAAAATTAATTTTGATATGATCAAAAGAGATCAATGTAAACTGTACCCAGATTGACTAATACAACCAAGGTCTGGAATGAAAAATGATTTTTCCTGATGTCAAATGACACACAGGCTGTCAATGACAGGAATCCAAGATGGAGAGAAAAATCACAGTATATGTTACATCCAACGCAACTTAAAATCAAGTTAAACTGAAGACTTTGTTGAATGTAATTGTCTTTATACATTATTGCAAACCAATAATGCTGATCTCAAATTCCATACTAAGGCTAAAATTTAATTTCATAGACTTATATAATTCATAAATGTTCATTAACATAAAAACTCCTACTTCTCGATTGAATTACAATATGCTATGAAATTCTGAGCATATGTATTAACCTGTACAGATTTACTTTTATTCAGTTCAAATCATATAGATAGATGCCCTTTCCACCTCAATGATATTCACCTTATATGTCTGCAAATTGTTTTTATCTAAAATTCAAAGAGCTGTGCATAAAGCATTTGCATTAAGCATGTTAGGATCAACATACAGATATGCAGCAAAGCAGAGAATATAAAACTATAAAGCCCAAATAATTCAGGACATTAAAACATAATAGAGGTCTTATCTATAAGAGAAGCGAAAGGGGTGACTTATAGTGGAATCTAAGCTTAATGATTTCCAAGTAGAAATTATTATACAATGTGAATATCCAAGGAACTGAAAGTATTACTAATTATAATTTTAAAGATTGTTAGTTCTAATTTCAATGTACATAACATTTGCAGCAGTGGCTTCCAACACTTGGAGGTGATATAGATTCCTATGCAAATCCCCCTCCCCAGAAAACTCAAAAACACCAAGTTTTGAGGCGTTCCCAGACCCTATGAAGATTCATCTATGAATCCCAGTTTACTTACCCTTGTCCTTGAGGGACAGGAGAGAAAACCCTTTTTACATCTCATTGCTCATTGCCTCCAGGAAGTTTTAACAAAACACAACAGGCTGAAGCCAGAAGTAAGGAATACACATTAAAAAACAGAGCTCTAAGTGGGTGAGCTTGTGTGGTCAGAGACACATGGCTCCTTTAATGTCTCCCAGGCGCCTATCTTTGTAGTCTTTTATAATTTGTTTTTTAAATTGTCCATAGATCCATACCTGCCCTGTGGTAAACAGGCATGGAGCAGAGAAATCATAAAGACAAAAAGAGTTGCTAAAATTTACTGAGTACCTTCTGTGGTTTCAGCCATCTTGATAAGTAACAGCTTCTCCACTTTGACTCTGGCTGTACCTATGGGTGAGTGTGACATGGGAATGCACAAAGCTACAAAATACTAAGACATGGCTGACTTCCTGGAGGACCAGCTTTCTTTGTGGGCAACTTAAATCCTTCTCTGTAATTCATTCTTCTATCCAATAACTGTTTTCTTGGATGTTACGGGAGAAAGAGAATAGATTCTGTCCTTGTCCTTCCAGTTTGGTGAAACGTTAAGAATACACTGCAGAATAGAAAGCAAAATTTGTATGCATGTTCAGGGTAACACATGAGGCCGCACTGAAAGTCTTGTTTGTGGCCGACTTTCTGGCGCTGTCCCAGCAGGCGCTCAGATCACTGACTCGAGTATCACCCAACTGGAAGAGTTTGAGGAGCACTGGTACGCTGTATCATTGAATGCTCACTAACAAAATACTGTTACTTCCAATTTATTAGAGGGGAAACAAGATTTGAGAAATCAGGCAACTGAGTCCCAGATCACACAACTGGTAGCATCTGAGTAGTCTGTACTATTCCAAAGTCTACATATTTTGTTAAGCACTAAATTATACTACCCCTAGGTGTTTCCAACTTCATGTTTCCCCTTAAAATCTGGACTCATTCAGGATTATGCAGGCTGGGTTACGCTTTTCTTTGGAAGGAGATAGGTTTGGCTTTGATTTGTACTCTAAATATTTCGTAGTGGTAAGGAAAGCTATTATTATACCCATTTTATGGTGAGGAAGCTGAGCCACTTGCCAGCTGAGGTATCTGGCTGGGTTAAAAATGGAATCCGGGTTGTCAGTCTCTCATTCTTCTTAACTAACTATAAGCCTAGGCAGAGTTACTGGCCAAGGACTTTTCTACACATGGGACTCACTGGGTGACAGAGAAACCTTGCTAAGAGAAACCAACAATGGTTCAGTTTTTAAAAATAAGTACTTGTAACTCACAAAATCAGTTACTTTAAGCGCTATGAGAAGAAAAGGGAGAGCTCGTTCACCACAAATGAGTCAGAAAATTAGGAAGTGTCTCAGCACCAATGACAGAGCTGAGGAATTTAGATGAACTGAAGTTTAACACTTACCCAGCTTAAAAGATCTTTTTGGCAAAAGGTGGGCCAAAAGGACATGTTTTTAATCTTTCTGATCTTCTTTCTTCAACTACTTTCTTTAGAAGTCAGCTGAGTTTATATTTTTGTTTTCTATGGGTAGTGATAATGTCTTAATATCTCTTTAATATTCCAGAAGTAGTGTACTGAATTCTTATGTGGGAATCATTCCAAACACTGGGAAGAAAATTTTTACTGATTTTCCTAATACATTTCCAACTTCTAGTATTTTCAAAGGCTAAGGCATTATTGGATTTTTAGATTCATATGCCTCAGAGTAAGTGCCAGCTAGATAGATCCTTGTCAACTGATATTCCTTGTTCACTCTGGATACATGATTTCCTTTATCTGACATATTCAAGAAATTCTGTGCTAGATTTAATGACATTTCATACATCCTGGTTTGGGGAGTTTTTAATTCTCCATTTTCTATGCAGCAAAAGTTTGTAAGTTAAAGTCAGACAGAAAGCTCACTCAAAGGTGCACATAAAGCATTAGCAACCTCCCACTAGGTCTTTTAGCATCTCTTACGGATCAGTTTCTTTAGGTGTTTTCATTTCTTTTTGTCAGTCATAAAAGACTATATACACCACAAATGGTCACTCATATCTTGAGGTCTGCTTTTCAAGATCATATTCTTTTGGATCCATTTTCAGAAGAAAGATAAAAGAATAACAAAGATACCATATTACAACCC